TCATGTTTATGTTTGCAACTGATAAATTGAAATCATTTAAAAAAAGAAAAAACCAGATAATAATTTTGCACCTTCGTAATAAGAGAGTTTTTGCACTATTCATTATCAACAAACATCCCTCTATCACAACTCATTTGCTTGGACCGTATACTTGTTTTTTGACGTGATAAAGCTTACTTGTGTAATTTCTTCAATCAGTATTACCATTAAGGTAGTATCAAAATAAGATGATAAACTTATCAGAGCCCTAAGCAAAAATAATTAAAAGTGGGTCAAACCACAACCATGCTGTTTATTTGCTCCAGCGCCTTGAGTTCTCTTCATGAGCAAAAGCTGATGGGAAAAAGGAAATGCCACAAAATATTTAATTATCATCGCACGCCTAAACCATCCACTTAGGGAAGGTATGGTGGGGAATCTTTTTGTTAGGTCGCACTTACACAAGTCTTACAGTCGTCGCCTGATTACCGAGAAATCCGGCACTTTGTAACGAGCTCGATGTTTTTGTAAAGGATACGATCTTGGATGTACTTACATCAATTGCCGAACGCAATGTTAGCGGCTCACTTTACAAAAGCGAACTGATTCTTTAGAAGAGGAGCGTGGCTGCCATTGAAAACGCTTCCAAAGCTTATAGACAGCCCACCATAAGGCTGTTCAGTGAAACTGGCCTTTTTTTTAAACAATGTGTGAGTAAGCTGAACGCTGTTCTTCCGCTTTAAAATATATCTGTGATCCGCAGTGTTTTTCTATGCCAAAGAGATCAAGTGTAAACCTAAGAAAATGTCTCCATTTTTTCCTGCCTCTCAAGAAAGGATTAAGGATTTGTCAATTTGTCTTTCTATCCGTACTGTTCAATGGTCATTATTGATAAGCTTGAGTGACTTAAAGTTACCTTGCGCGTTTTTTAGCGCAAGTAATTCCTGAATGCAAAGGTTTAAATCTGAGGCTAATGAGCGGAAACGTCTGACGAAGGTTAATTGCGTTTCACAAGGTAATACCAGCCAAATTGGTTCCGTCGGGGTGGGGGTTTGGGGTGGAGTTCGAACACGCTCAATTCTCTGCACTCTTTCAATATAATTTCTGTTTACTCTAAAAAGTTCAACTTTTGCACTCAGGAATTACTTGCGCTAATAAACGCGCACGGTAACTTTAAGAACACTCAGGCTTATCTTTCATAAATGGCTGCCGGATTAATATTCTTTTGTCTAAATTTAAATTTGCCCTTCTGGCCTCGTTCTCCAGTACAAAATTCAAAAGAATACATTATCTCAAGCGAGGCCAGAAGGGCTAATTTAAATTTAAACAAAAGAATGTTAATCCAGCAGCCATTTATGAAAGTGGTCTATAATGACCCTTGAACAGTACGGATAGAAAGACAAATCGACAAATCCTTAATCCTTTCTTGAGAGGGAGGAAAAAATGGAGACATTTTCTTAGGTTTACTGGATTTTCATTCTTGGGTTGGGCCTCACTGCTGAGGGAATTTCGGCCAGTTTTAATCCTTTGACTCCCTTGAGTGACCAAGACAGAATTTCTCCTTACAATACCAATACACAATATCAAGAGGACAAGCAATGAGAATAAAGAAAAATATCAACCATTGGATTGTTAGTTGATCAGATACCAGGTTCTCTAAAGTAACATCATAAGAAGTGTAACACAGACAGTAGGGAGAATTACGAATGAGATCTCGGGAGTGAAAGGGTCAAACAGTGAGGCCTTGCCCGCCAAAGAAATTAACGATAAAAACATTGAAGATTTTCCAAATCGCCCTCAAGAAGTGTTAGCCAGGATTTCCCCATAAAATTAGCATATTAATATTGACTGCCGTGCCGGGCCTATTATTTCATATTTCCATCATTTGGCCAACACATGTGTGAAAATCTTGGAAAGTCCAAAGGGATGAAGTTGTTTTCCTCAACGTTCTGAATAAAGCCGGTCAGAGCTAAAAAGAAAAAAACTGTATCCAGCCATCTTAAACGTATGTGATTTCTGTGACGTCAGTTAAGCAATTAGATTTATACACAATTCGTATATAACCACCACTTAGTTACTCATTTAGGGAAAAAAATTAACACCAAAATGTTCGTTCTTGAACTGGAACTAAATCAAGTTCTTTTTTAGACAAAACCTCCCTGAGAACAAGGTTTGCTTGGTTCGTGCTTTATGAGTGGAATGCCTCATGAAGGAAGACGGCTATTGAAAAAAACCTATGATTCATTCTTAAAAAGTTGTAGACACTTTTTAATGGTTAGTACGATTGGTCAAGTTTGTGTTCTGATGACATAACTACATCATAAATTAGACCAAATTAATCTCGTGAGGTCACTTGTGGTCGTGGGAAGGTAGAAGAAAGACTCGAAAGGGTTAGTTTGGCAATTTCGTTCTTGGTGAGTGTGGAGTGGATGCTTTTCTTCTCCCTTTGGACTTTTTAGTTTTGTAAATTTATTTGACTACAACTACAGGTGCGTTTTCCCTTCATCTCGCAAACCGATCGATCATTTTAAAAACAAAAGCGTTCCACACTCGTAATTGGGAACTTCACACGCTGACTTTCTCAAACAAGTCATCAGAGTGTTTTATCACTTTATAACCATCTTTCAAGTCAAGTCAAACATCAAAATAAGACTAGTTTGAATGCTTCTTTGCCTTCACTGTTACGTTTATCTCCGAGTCTTTGGCCGGTTTAAATTTCATAACAACTCCGCAACAAAGGTCACGGATACCGATTTGATTAGATCTCATTAAGGTTGGTTTTATTCCACAGCTGAACAAGAGAGCATCCGATACGGTGTTCAATAATCTTCTTACCATTCTTAAATAGAATGCGATATCTATGCAAAAGATGTTTTCTTTGCTAAATCGGTTTACAACTTTCCTATAACTTACAAATGGGAATAGGCTTTTGTCAGGCGAATAATTTCTCGCCACTGCCCTTTCGTTGTGCAATTTACTCATGTACATTAGTTTTATTCGATAATTACTCGCTTTTGAAAGAGCACTTAAGTGATTGAAGTGCATTTTACGTCAGCACTCTCATACACCATTGAACCTCAACGCTTCTAATAGAATGAGAACACGTGACATCTTAAAATCTTTCAGCTAATTAGGCTTTAGTATCTGGTTTCTTTCCGGCATTACTATCCTCGTTTGTTGTTGTTGTTGTTTTTCAAGACTTTCTAAGGTACGGTAAACGTCATGAATTACATTTTTGAGCCATGATTGTAGGTTGGGTAGGATATCAGTTGGACATACACAGTATTTACCAGTAAGGATTAATAAAAGGACAAACATGGCACGTGTGCTGATGATGAAGTTGTGATTGCAGGTTAAAAAATTTCAACTTTATTTTGCCCTTCAGTTGAGCTTTACATCCTCAAGTTTATAACATCTAGATAAATATGGTAAAAATGAGAAATTTTAGGCTCAGTTGACAAATGAAACCATTTGTCACTGCCATGGCCACATGCTAAGTTCAGAGGTGACGATTGCCTGCATATTTCAAAGATCATCAAGAAGAAAGAAACATTTTGTGCTCGGTTATCGACTGAAAACATTGCTGCTCTTAGCCTCGTGTTGAATGCTTGTTAGTTGTGAACTTCTACGTGACTGAACTCACTACGGAGTTCTTTGTAGCCAAACGCAGGGTTCACCATTGCACTGCGCGATCCGAAGGTTTTTAAGATGGAGTTCCTATTGCCTCAACTGCCCTGCGCACGTGAGACCAAAAAAAGAAAGAAATATTTCATTAGAAGGGCCTCATAGTCGGAGAAATGCGAGCAAGTTTTGATCTTAGGATTTTTCTGTTGAAAGAAAGCGGTACTTGAAGTGATATGTAATAGAATTATTCACTTTTTCTTTTTACTGAAAGCATATTTCACAGGAGCTTATTACATTAATTATATCAATGATCCCCTGCTTTCTATTAATAAATTGCCAAACATAATAATGGCTTTGTTCTCCTGCAACAATGATGCTTTTCAGAGAAACCTGTTAAAGAATTCACTGACGGTTTATTAATCAATTACTCGGGATTAAAACCACCGGAGAGATTTGAATAATGCCATTTACCTCGCTAACGGGTTAAAATCAATTTTCGAGAGGCCTTCTGTGCTCTTTTAAGATCGGCTGATGTTTTTAAGATTAATTTATAATAAAAAAGTTAGACTCTTTTAATACAGCATTGTGAGCAAGTTGTAAATGATAATAGTCGCAGTCAAATGTTTTCATTGTGACATCGATCTTTTTCAGTTTGCTTTCAGTGGAATCAAATATAAATCTTTGCGATCCCTTCTTTACAATTGCTGACTTGTAGAAAATCAAAACAAGAACGTGAAGAACAACTTCAATAAAACATAGCTGCTATTTTTCCAAAATGCATGACTCTAGTTTATTCCCTAAGAGCTTGTAGAGTAAGGCACCTCGATTCCAATCGCGTATTTATTTCAACTTTCTTTGAAAACGCGAAATGTTTGTTTTGTAATTAACCAACCACCTTAAAACGTGACGTCGGTAAACGAAAGTTTAAATGCATAGGTATGGTTGGCAATCCTTGGTAACTATTTCAAGAATGTTCATCTCTCCCAAAACGTGAATAATTTTACTTTAAGACATCTCTTATCCGCATATCCGTCCTTTTCTAATCAAGTTTTGTTTCCATTCTCAATTATCTAAAGGCATCACACCTTCTCAAAGAGGTGTAAAAAGTTTGCATTTTTGAATAGACATTTCGGAACAGCTGTGAAGGGTGTATTATTAACTTGGCAAAAGATCTAATGGCTTTTCAGTCAAATTCCCGATAAAAGGCCAATTTGAGTACATTCATAAGTCAAGAGGCAGGCATCAAGTTAATACAATTTTGGTTAGACATAAATAGTCTAGGGTTATCTTAATTGAATCGACGAAAGATTGAAGCAACTCAATACATTGTTTAGAAATTACATAAAAGACGCCGTCCGGCCTACGTTTTATCGATGACATGAATATTCTTTATTTAGAGCAAAATGTGGCTGAGGATCTCGTGGATTCTTTTGACGACTAGGATATTGTTGTCAAATGCTGAATTGCCAAGCGACAATGACGACGAAGGTAATTTAATGTAGTTGTATCAGTTGGGATCAAAGAGTAGTCCGCAATGAATGTTTTCCTTGAGGCCGATAACTGTGAAAATTTTGGGTCAGGGCCATGATTTTTAAAGCGTTCTGAAATAAATAGGATGTGAAACACAATTTTATAACAAAGCAGCTAAACTACACCATCTATATAAAGGCTGCAAGCAAGGGTTTTTATCGCTACAATGGCTGATTGAAAAATTTGAAATTAACCCGTGTCAGTGCCGCGCCAAACATAACATAAACAGACACGGCACTGGGACACTTGTGAACATTTTTCGGTACAAAACTCTTATTTCAAACAGATTTGTCTTTTCAAAAGAGAAATTACAATCCGAGAGAGCTCACAATCCGACCGATCACCAGTCGACCCCACTCTGCTGCGTAAAACTTTCTTCTTCCCTTGGAGTAGGGGCATGGGAAACGTCACACTCTGCAAACTGCAAGCCAGGAGTATCTCGGTGTTAGCTGACGGCTCAGACCTACCTTGCGAGCAGAAGTCCCTTCGACCTTCCTAGAAATGTTGACTCTTCTGGGAGGATCGAAGAGACCTCTGCTCGCAGGGTAGGTCTGACCGGATTTCAGGGCCGCAACCTTACAGTAGCGCATTAGTCCTCTCGTTGCTTTAACCTTCAGTCTAGGCACCGGTACTGAACTGTCCAGGGGAGGGATAAGAGTGTGCTCCTTTCTGTAGGAACTTTGATCAGCCTCAAAGGATCACTAAAACAGTAACCTTTGAACTCTTTCTTAACCAACTCACCTATAGTCACAAAGGTTGTCAATAACCATGGGGATGGCGCCAGCGAATCGAAGCTGGACAGCGAATAACGGCTGGGTTATTGAGCCACTGGTTTGTGAAGAGATATAGATTTGGATTTGGATTAGTTTTCAAGGGAACAAAAGGAACGGAGAAAAATGTTTGTCTTTTGAATGCATCCACAAAAAATCATTTCGGCAGAATTTTTAACTAAGTTTATCATTCCTTTTTTCGGAACTGATGCGGAGCTTCATAACGCCACGAAAAAACGTGATGGATTCACAAACCAAGTACAACTTTCAGAAGCTAGATCCGAAACGGGTGCGGAAAATAACATTGTTTCAGATGAAACAGGGTCAGTATACGGAAAACTGGGGTATGCACCCACCAAAGGTTAAGAGGAGTTCCTCCACACGGAATGAGAAATACATACTTTTAGGATGTAGGGGTCCTGGGTTGTTAAAGATTGTTTTTCTTTGCTACGAGATGGGGGGTGTCGTATTATAAATTACTGACTTGAGCATTGTAAAGATTTATGATAACTATATCTTGTTACTATTATTGTTACTATGGGTTACCTGTAGCTTACGAGCCTTTGTGTGGTCAGCGGCCTGACACTCATGGCGGTAAGTACTTGGTGTAATCCTTAATGTATGTTAATGAAAGCAAATGACCATGTATTCTCATATGTTCTTCTGTATTGATGCATGTATGAAGGATTGCACCAAGTACCTACCCTCATGGCGGCGATCTTGTTGTTGTGAATCAGGCTACGAACTTATGTTACCTGACTTTCAGGTCAGTCTACACTCTAGGATACCCCTCCCTAGGCTGTGACTTAAGTTCATTGTTATTGCTTCTTTTTGATAGAAGAGAGCTCCAGTCCAAGGAGTATGCCGGATTTCTGGTTGTTTGGCGACATCAAACTAACAGGTCATCAAAAAGTTCTACTTGATGTGCCAGAGGGCGCGAAGGATTAATTTGGTTCTCCACGAAAACCACCGGCTGCCACACGAGAGAAGACCTTGCTGTGGGATAATGGAGTCATACCGTATGAGTTTGACTGCAGCTTGAGTAAGTGATTCCGAAATTTATAGAACGCATCAACTAGGACGTCTTTCAGTCACGAAGTAAATCTGAGCCTGCAAGAAAGGGTTTCACCTTACGTCACAACCACCTATTACTCTATCGGCAATCGTTTATGGAAAAAGTTGTTAAAACCTCTGTTTACCTGGTAACAGTTTTACTTGCCACAGAAGACGGTTTTCCGAAAATACTCGGCGATATAACTCTTCATTGTTCGAGACCATTTTAAAATCAAATCGTACCATATTTTTCTTGTCCTGCTTTTATTGCTTCGCAGAAAACATGCCTGAACTACAAAGAATAATTCGACTGGCTATGAATGACTGGGAATCGAAAACCTGCCTCAAGTTTATAGAAAGAACCAACGAGAAGGATTACGTCAATTTCTTTCGGGGAACTCAGTAAGAGAAACGCTTTTGTGGATTAAAATGTTTATGACTATGTTTTAATTCTAGCAATATCGTTTGATTTAGTCGAGTGATCTTTTGATATGCGCACATTAACTTTTAATGTTAAACATCGTTTTTCATCCTTTTTTCGACCTGCACCCAGTTGTTACAGCACAGTAGGCAAGGTTCGCAATGGACCCCGGGAAGTGTCTGTTGGATTCGGGTGCGAGTACCATCACGTGATGGCGCATGAGTTAGGTCACGTGATTGGATTTTGGCACGAGCAGAGCAGACCCGACAGAGACGAGTACGTGAGGATAATTTGGAAAAACGTGAACAGAGGTAGATAAGGGGATTTCTGTTATGCTTTCCTTTTACAGAGGATTTTAGATGTTAGCTCAGCTAAGTCGGCGTTATCTTTAAGAAGGAGCTGGATGGTAGCAAGTTGTTCAGCTCATTACATGCTTCACGCGGTAAAAAATGTAGAAGCTGGATCATTTCGTCGTAAAGGCTTGTTTTGAATCAATTTGTTTCTTCGATCACAGGCTGGGAGCACGCATTCCTCAAACAGACGTGGCAAGCTGTGGACTCTTTGGATACGCCGTATGATTACAACAGCATCATGCACTACCGACTTAACGCTTTCTCGCGATCAACGAGAAGAAAAACAATTGTACCCCTGAAGAAGGATGCGCGCAGGGTCCGACCCTACAGAAAGATATCGAAGATTGACGTGATTCAAGTTAAAAGGATGTACAATTGTGATGGTAAGTCTTCCATAGCTCGAAAATGAACCGGGAACTATTTTTCTGAGCTAGCGTGATTGCAGATAGATTTTTCGGACGGAAGTGGTTAGACTCACGAATCCCAGGTGAACTGAGTAAGAGCCCTTCGCGGGCGGGATTACAATTACTGTGGTCTGAGGAAAACGTGTAGCTATCGTAGTATCTAGATCCATACCCCTGTTGCCAAGGACAATTTGAAAAATGTCGCCATCTTCGACAACTACTTTTTAGGTATCTCTCTTCAATATTTTTCTAACGGAGACTAATGAGCAGCACAAAGGAAGATGTCTTGTTTTAATTTCTCATTTATTTCTCCCAACGCAGGGAATGATTACATCTGACGATGAACAGCATATAGAGCACATGCGTGTGCCTAAGTTGAACTTCCCATGGAAGTGAATAATAATTGAAACAGGTTGTAAACGGACGTTACGCCAATTGTTCATTGATATCATTGTGTCTCTTTTCTAGCTAAGAATCAAAGATTTTTTAATGATTCAAGACTTGAAGCTATGAGACGAGCAAAAAGAGCCATTGGCGGAAGAGGATTGGTAACAATCAGAGGATCCAGTCTTAGCTCAAAAGAAGGTAAAAAAAAAATGCAATACCAACAAAAAAGAAACTTCTAGCTCCATAATTATCGCAAGTAATGGCGGAATTTTAAGTAGTGAATGGCTCTTCAACTGAAGATATCTAAATGATTGAATGATCAAGAAAATCAGTAAATTCTATGAGATGTTTATTGTGCAAAATCATTATGACCTTTCAATACTGAGGTAATTTACGGTTTTCTTTAAACAGAGGAAAAGAAAAAGACAACAAAAGCTCTAAACTGTAAGGATACAAGTACGGCTTGTCCTTACTGGGCTAAGAAAGGTTTCTGCGAAGCACGGCAGGACATCAAACTCAAGCATTGCAGGTTAAGCTGTAACGCCTGTGATGAAGGTAACTAGTTACGCAGTCGCGTCGCGCAAAGCTTCGTTTGATTTAAAGTTGTAATACTATTCATTGATCGATAGTTTCAAGTGATGGTTTTCTCCAAAAGTGTGCACATGAGAAATCGGCTTTCCTCGCTCAGATGGCGCTTTTGAGTTATCTGATTTGTAAACTGAAAATCTATATTGGAAATTTATATCAAAGGTATATAAACGTCCACGAGAGATTTTAACTTCAATCGAACATCTATCAACGGTTACTCGCACCCTGAGGCCAGAGTAAAGTGCTCTTTCCAGAGACTTTATGGAAAATTGCGGCCAGAAGATGGAGAAGAGGAAAAAT